ACAGCGGCAGTCCTTATCTTTTAGGGCTGTGCGCCCTCCCAATGCACGTACGCTGACGTTTCATCTGCGGTCGTCGCGACTGCCCCTGCCGCTGAAACCGCAGCTGCGGCGTCCACGCAACCGCACTCGCACCGGGGCCGTCGAGGCCCCAAAGGGGGGTGTGGTGGTGGTGGTGGTGGTGGTGGTGGCGGGGACAGTGGGTCCGACGAGGGCATCGTGGCTGGTGCCCAGGAGCAACAGCAGCCGTCGCAGCAACTGCAGCAGCAGCAGCAGTCGTGGGCCTGCCTCCAGCCGGGGTGGCCAGGAGCCTCTGGCGGTGGTGGCCGCAGTGGCTGCCCTTGCAGCTCGGCGTTGGCCAGCAGCTTCGATGCTGGGGGCTGCCAGTACCAGCTCCAGACGGGCCCCCTCCGTGGCACTGTGTATCGTTGCACGCACCCGACCGCCTCCTGCGTCCGCCGCCTCGACGACCTCTTTCGTCGCCGCTTTGGACCGGCCCCAGACCTCCCTGACTGGGCCATCCTACTGCGCCAAGGTGTGCCTATCTTTGAGTTAGACATAGATCAGATTTGTTCTGCCCTGCACTCTCTGTATGCTGATGATTCTAGTGTGCCCATATCTTATTACCCTGTGTTATCTAGTTTAGGTGTAGTTCCTGTGTGCGGTACAGACTTCCCTACTACATCAGGCGTAGAACCTTCTGCCTTGTCTAGCTTAGGCTCCACACTCGATCCTCCTCCGGTCGCAACTTCTGCTTCGCTGTCCTTTACGCTTGACTCCGGTGCATCTGTCTGCTTCTTCCGCGACCACGCCACACTCACGCCGCTTGCTGCCCCTACCGCTGTTGCACTTGCTGACCCCTCCTCTGGTCCTGTCATTGCCCGTAGCTGCACTACCCTTCCCTTTCCAGCGGCTCCCTCAGGTTCTCTTACAACCCTGCACATCCCTTCGTTCTGCAGGAACCTAGATGGTGTCGGCTGTCTTCAGGACCTCGGGGTAACCACTACGTTCCCTAGTCACGAGCGGTACGCTGTCTGTACCGAGGCCACCTCAGGTGCCCCCCTTGTGACATTCCCCCGGGACCAGGTCTCTTGTCTGTTTATGCTGGACACAGCTTCCCCCTTGGTGGGCACGTCCTCCCCGGGTCCTGCGTCTACCCAGGTTGCTGCGGCTTGCTCGTGCCGGTCGCTCACTCACCCGTCACTTTTGTGGCACCATTGCATAGGTCACCCCGCACTCTCGCGTCTGCGTCACATGTCGCAGCACAGTCTCGTCCTAGGTCTCCCTCCGTCACTCCCTGCCCTCCCTCCCTCGCCCCCGCCGCCGTGCACTCCCTGCATCCACGGCCGGTTGTCATGTGCCCTTCATTCCTCCTCGCTTCGCCCTACCACCCCGCCACTCCAGACCCTGCACCTAGACGTCGGGGGCCCAGCCCCTGTCCCTGGGCCGCATCGTGAGCGCTACTTTCTCGTGCTCAGTGGTTAGTGAATGAGGTCTGAATGCCGCTCAGTGTGGCGCGCTGGCTGCATGCGGGCGTGCTGGCCGCTGCCGGGTGCTGGCCGCTAAGACCTGGCGCTGGCCGCTGCCGTCCATGCTGTCCGTGCGCTGGCGCGTTGACACCCATGGCAGCACGACGATGCCGTCACTGCAGCACGACATGGCTGTGGCGGCGACGCGGAAAGGACAGGAGGGAGGAGCGAACGTTGCGGAAGCGTGATGAGCAGGCCCGAGCAGAAGGACCTGCTCTGATACCATGTTCAACAAGCTAGGATAAGATACCGTATTCCCTCGGATAAAAAACCCGCCGGAATTGATCACTCATGGGTGGTTTGGGCGCTTAATTAAACTGGATATTTATACCACCCTACTTTTCAACATGAATCCAATACACCACCCCCCTGCTTCTTTGCCTTCATTTTCTACAGCTTGGGGCTATGAACAATACAGTTTTAACATTGCAGAGACTGTCCTACAGTCTAAAATATCAGGAGTTAGCACTAAACACCATGGTCTACTCCCTACGTCTACATTATGATCACTATTCGCATGGTGGTTGGGATCTTACAGGCCCCATGATATGGACGGCCGCTCCTACTCGTCTACATCATCTTCACCTTCATCTTCGTCGTCGCCTTCAACCCACATCTCCACGTCGCTGCCCTCTGCAAACTCTTCCCACCACCCATCGTCCGCGTCATCAGCAATGCCCTCTGCTGGCCATTCCCTTTCCTCCTCTGCTGCAGCTTCTTCAAAGGCCTCTGCCACGTCGTCTTCAGCGTCTCCATCAGTGGGAGGCTCGAGGCTGTCGTCGAACAAGGGGTTGACGCACTCTGCTTCGCCCTCTTCAAAATGCACGTCATAAAAAACTTCCACTTCCGGCTTGCCACGGAGATGGCTCAGGATCAAATTGTCCTCCGAGCCGCCCAAGTCGTTGGAGATGCCGCAAGTCTTGAACGACTTGCGGATCAACTCCTCTGGGACTGTGGCCCAACTGTGAGCAATCCACTTGAGGATGAGCTCGGCTGGGGGCTTCTTGAGATTACCTGCAGGGAATGGAATCACATGATGCAAATTCAGGATCAATTATTGGAGCCGCCGGCAGAGGCAAATTTAGGATCAATTAAATAGTTTACACAATCAGAAGCAGCGGTACGAGACACACCGTGTTTTGTCTTCTGCTCGATGCCAGTAGTCTCGAACCAGCCGCCATAGTCACTCCTGATACCGGCCTTGAAGGACTTGTTCACGGCAACGTCTAACGGCTGCACCAGTGGGGTGCAGCCGCCGGGGATCACAGCATGCGTCAGCTTGCACAGCTTCATAGTCTGCCCGACGGCCTGCGTGAGGTGGCCTTTGTAGGAGTCTAGGATCACGAGAGCCTCCTTACACTTGATCCTCGAGTCTCGCAGAGGTCGAAGGAAGGGGTTGAGCACTTGATTCGTCCAGTCCTGGACTAGGCTGTCGTCCATCCAACCCTTCGGCTGGGCACGGATGACAACACCTGCATGCACACCGGACACGCAGTGAGAGGACGATGAGGATAGACGGCAAGGAACCGAGGGCTAGACATTACACACTTACCGGGCGGGACTTGAATCTTTGGGAGGGTTTCCTCTTGAAGATAACGTAGGCCGGTAGCTTCAGACCAGACGCCGTCACCGCCAGCATAACGGTGAGCCTCTCATTCTCGTAGCCCGCGGTCCTCACATGGACTGTACATGACCCCTTGTGCTCGAGCGTCCTCTCCTGGGGCATTTCGATGAAGAGGGGAGTCTGGTCCGCATTCACGATGAGGTCGAGGCTGTACTTGTTGAGCACGCGCATTTGGCGAACGAATTCCCAAAATTTCTCGCATTTCTCGCGCATATCTGCCAGGTAAAACAAGGAACCGTGTTAGTTTGCACGAATTCAGAAGCGGGTGAATGAGTTCGGTGAAACGAGGATGTCCCTTGACAGTAGAGTGCAACGGACTTACCATCGGCCAGTTTCTGGCCCATCTTCGTCTTAACACGACGAGTCAGGCCCCATCGGGCCCGAAAGCGAAACGTCCACCTGCTGGAGGCGCGCCAGTCGATGTCGGGATGGTGGTGTCGCATGTAGGCGCGGCTCCACTTCTGCAGCTGCTTGACGGAGACGGCGAGTCCTTTGCCGCGGTGCTTCAGAAACTGGCGGTAGAGGGCACGCTCCATTGCTGGGAATTTCGCTGGTCGTCCGGCCCCGACAAGACGCCTACGACAGCCGGCCGCGACGCGAAGCCGCTCGTGCGCCCTCTTCCATTCCCTGATGGACACAGGTTGCACTCCTGCAAGCCTTGCCAAAGCACAAACAGAGAGGTCAGGTTGTGAGTCGGCCATATGCAGCCATAACAATTTTTCTTTCGCGGTGTACGACCGTCGTTGTTTCTTTGTCATCCTGCTGCGCGGCGACGGCGGAATACTATCGTCAATTCTAGAGGGACCACGTCGGTGCCAAATCAGTGAGGGGAACCTTGGAACGTGGACGCGTGGCAGAGGAGCACGACCTTCGGTCGCACCACTCGACTCGTCTGCCGTAGGAGTGCTGGCATTGCTGGCGGTGGGTATAGGGCTGCTGGGTGGCGATGTAACGGTAGGGCGAGCAGGAAGACGGAACAAGGTTTGCTGGCCATAAGGGCCACGCTGAGTGAAAAGACGGTTGATACCCGAGCCATTTGCCATAGCGAGTTGGAGCTATCCTAGCTGAGGGGAAGGATGCCCTCGACAACCCTTTCAGAGGTCGTTTTGAAGCCATCGTCTCTCAAGAATGCGAAATGAGTTGGGAGACCTGGCTATACCCTCAGCATGAGCGGCTTGGAGGGGATGGAGGGGACGTGGACGACTCCCTAACTTGAGCCGCTCACGATAGAGCCTTCACGACCATGCAGCACTGGAGAATCTGTGGGCTGGTCGGCCCTGTTTGGGTCGTGAAGGAATCTGCTGCAAATTCCTCTTGCAGAGGTTTGTTGGCACGTCGTGGCGTGGAGGTTGCCACCACGAGGTCACACCATGCCCCTATTGGCTGGAAAATGCAGGAGAACTGTGACGTAGCACAGTTCCACTTCCAACATGGCAGAAGGATAGTCATCATTGGCGTATACGCGATTATGCGCAAGAATCATCCAAAATTGACTCAGCACAAGTCTGTGAACAGGGCTCCTGCTACTTTTTAGGGCAGTCTGAAAATCAGATGGGTTCTTAGAGCTTCGTCTGACCGTCAGACGGATATATTTTGCCTGTCTTACGATTCAGACGAAATGCAAGCACATGTCTGAGAATTCAGACGGTTTTGCATCCTGACTTTATCACAGCTCATACTACCAAGTTACCAACATACAACATGACGTCAAAAGTTAGACTACTGCAGCTCCTACCATACAATGAATAATCATCAGCTACTACCATCAGGAATAATCAACAACAGCCTATTGCAGAGGTGAGCTCAATTAAGCTCACAAACTATTTGTTGGGCTGAGATATTTCCAATACTACTCCTAAGAGCACTTATTTTGCTGCTACTCCTACTAATGCCGCTACTGCTGCTGCTGTTGTTGCTGAGGCTGCCTGCTACTACTGCTGAGGCTGCCTGCTACTGCTGCTGAGGCTGCTTGGTACTCATGGTGATGCCTTCAGTTAGAGTCGGTGTCGCTGTCCACAGGGGCCTCCTCCTCTTCCTCAGAGTCAGATTCAATGGCAATCATCTTCCCCTTGCCCTTCCTCCTCCACACAAGGCCAGCTGCAGCATCCTCCTCAAACACACGTGCTGCTTCCACAGCAGCCAATGCCTCTGCCTCTCGAGCTGCTGCTGCTGCTGCCTTCGCTGCTGCCTTTGCCACTTTTACTGCATCGGACCTCTTCGGCTTCTTCGTCGGCCTCGAGCCCTGTGCCATCACAACTTCTTTGGCAGGGCGCCGCTTCTTGACTCCCCCGTGCCACATGGTCACCAGTTCCTCCCACTCCATCTTGTACTCCAACAGCGAGATGGTCATCAGGTCGCTCAGGCGCGCATCGCAGAGGTTCCCGCGAAGCCAGCTCTTAATCACATTCTGTCGGCTGAAGCCGCAATCGCACTCCACCGTGCTCAGAGGCAGCACGGCGACAGCAATCCACACAAGGACAATGTTGGGGTAGGCCATCTTCCAGTCGTCGCTTGAGAGCATGTGCTTTAGGGCAGCGTGGAAGTCGAGGTCGTCATGGTGCGTTGACATGATCGTGGTGAAGCTGGTGAGTTCCTTCCTGGCCTTGCCCCAATGGACGCCTGAGGGCGGGGGAGGGGTCGGCGGAAGGGTGGGTAAATAGAAGTCAGGAATGGGCAACAATGGAAAGCAGGGTTATACACGCGAGAGAGCAGCCACTTATAGACGCGATGACAAGGGAGCGGCCTTACCGGGCAGGGTGTCAGGGGCTGTGGGGTCGCGCTTCCACAGGTTGTGCAGAGACAACAGCCACTCCATGAACTTACGCTCGCGCCTGAATGCGGTTCGAGGATACAAACTCTGCTTGTAGAGGCGAGTGCCGTTGAGGGAGGACAAGTCGTGGAATCGGCCGCGCAGATGGCCGATCATCGCCAACACTACAGCAGCTGCCAGCTTCTGGAGTGACTCCATGTCCCCTCCGCTTTGTTGGCCTTCGATCGGTCGCTCATGAAGCTGGTACGTGTGGATGAGAGGAGTGTCGTTTGCATCTGTGCCCGAGATAGTAACGTCCTTGCCGCCAGCGTGAAGTTGCAGAAACTCGAAGAAGTCGCCCGAGGTCGGGCCAAACTGCGAGTCGTAGGTGACGTACCGGCTGCGCAGGATGAGGATGGTGTTGTCCACCATCCTAAGAACTTGCGTCACGTGGACCTGGGGGAGGGGTGCAAACAAAGAGAAAGCAAACATTATAAAGTATTCGGACATGTAAACAGAAATCATGCTAAGAAGGACGCACCTGTCGACGCTGGAACTTCAGATTCAACGCGTTGAGCTCCGCGAGGATGTCAGCCAGGAAGTACAGAAGGAAGTGGAACTTCAAGCTAGTGACAACAACATACATCTGACTATCATACTCCCGCAGCAAGAGGATAGCAGCTGGGAAGACCTCGACCAGCCGCTGAATGGCTTCACCCCGAGAAAGCCAGCGGATCGGATGGATCCCCTGCATCTCGAGGTTGGTCTCGGTCACCACCTCCTGCAGCTGCTTGAAGCGGTTGTGGACGACGATCGAACGGCCGAGGATATCGGCCAAGGAGCGGACCACCTTGTAGACCACAGCTAGATCAGGAAAGTCTGCTGCCGCGTCCTTAGCGGCTAGGGCCTCCCTGCATGCATGGCCACGGAGGGATGATTAACAAAGCGCGGAGAAACAGCATGATAAAAGACAGTTGGAGTGCGAATGGCTACCTATGAGCAATGCAATGGCATGATACTAGATGCGGAATTCGAGTGCAAAGACGGGCAACAAGGCCCAACTGCGCTCCCGTCATCACGCTGGCGCCGTCGGTGCTGATCCCACAGATCTTATTGAGGTCGACCCCACATGACTCCAGGTGAGTCAGAAGCATGGCTTGCAGGGAGGCGGCATCGCACTTCTCCACTGTGAGGTGCACGAAGAACTCTGTGGCGACCTCCGTACCGCGCAGGAAGGTAAGGTAAACGATCATGTGCTTCCCTCGGCGCCGGTCCGTACTTTCGTCGAGTTGGATCCCAAGAAAGGGGCTCGCCTTGATATGGACCATCTGCTTCGCCCGCAGGTAAGCCACTAGGTTCTCGACGAGCTGGATGAAGCCATGCCTGCCATTCGGGTAACACCGGAGGGCATAGGGAAGGAGTAACGCAAATAGAGACAGTAAGTTCAAACAAATATCATAAACGGCAAATGAGGAACTCGGATGAGGAGGGCTTCGCCTTCAAAACGTGGGACACTTACTCGCTCTGGTAGGTTCCTCGTTCCTTCAAGGGCAGATCAGGTGTCCCCTGTTCTGCCATGAACTGGACAAGGGAAACGAACAGAACGATAGGTGCATCCGACTTGCAAACAAAAAGCACGATGGCCATGAGCCGCTTCAATCGTCGAGCCTCATTGTCACGGTTCTCAAAGTCGACGATCGACTTCTGCTTCTTCATCTTCCCGTCGCGCTGTAGTTTCTTTGACACGGCAGCCTCATGCTTCAGACTGTGATGATGCTTACGCATTGTTTGCTTCTGAATGTCGATGCCGCCCTCACCGTTGCGGCCGTACTGATAGTCGGGGTCGTCGCCAAACGCCATGCAGACGCTGCACTTCATGCAGAGGCGACCCTCCTTAGTCTCGGAAATCACCAATCATGGAAAGTGTCGTAACCACTGCTCCCTCGCTTGAGTTGGAGCTCCTCCACCGTCAGGAAGAATGGCCCGTCGTCGTCGGACGGCGGGGAGCTGGGACCAGGATCGCCGCTGCTGCTGCCGAGCTGGATAGGATTAGCCGCAGTCGAGGCGCAGGCATGTCGACCGAAGCTGAGTTTGCGCTGGATGTACTTCGCCTTGTCAGACTTGCGGGCGGGCAAGACGGGCCCTCCAGAGACGCGTGGCGGAAGGACGGCAGAAACGGTTTACCTTGTAGGTGATGACGGACGGGAAAGGCCTAGTAGCAGAGTTGAGCTCGGAGCCTTCAGCACCAAAGATGATCCATGGCTCCGTGTCCAACGGAGGCAGTGGGCTCAGAGGAGCCACTGTAGGGGGAGGACTAAGCACGGGCGAGCGGGCGGCAGGAGACGGGCTACGCGATCGTGCACATGCTGCGGGTGGCGGACTAGCGACGGGAGAGCGAGCCGAGGGTGGAGAACTCAACGCATGCTTGTTACTCGTACTAGGACTAGCCTCTCGACGACTAGTCGTATGTCGAGTAGCGGAAGGAGGCGGTGCGGGTTTGACAGGCAGAGTAGGCTCGACGGGCATACGCCTCTGATGCGGCTCAGTGCTAAGGGGAGGCGGCGCGGGTCGGGACCGAAGCAGGTAGGCCGCGTAACCGTCGATGGTGCGGCATCTTTAGGAGGGTTAGCATTAACCTCCTCTAAGGCCATAAGATGAGACACACGATATGAGCAAGAACTAGGTGGGAGAGCCAACCAAGAATGAAGCACTTGGACGAGGGGAGGACGAGGACACCAGAGAGAGCACTCTTGGCTGCAGGGAGTGGTTCTCTGAGACGTGGTGGTCTGAGATTGGGGGCTTCTGTGGGCTGATTTTCCACCATGGCGGCTCGAAGAAGAGCGGCTTGGGGTTGCAGATTCAATACGAAACCCTTGTCGTGCACGACGAGGGTGGCTTGCGGTTTCATCGGGAAATGCGCTGGCACATTGCTTCCCAGCGCTGCTTGCTTGGAACCTGGCTGGCAGCAACGGTGCCCGTAACAAGACAGTGGCGTGGCAGCAGCTAGCGTCAGCAAGCTGAAAATTTATGTGCGCTGGACTGTTTCGCTGCCGCGCTCGGGGTAGAATTGAATGCGCGTGCTGCGGTGCACATGGGACTGGGTGGCTGGCAGTGGCCTAGTGGGCATGTGGACTAGTGGCCCTGCTGCTAGAAGGGCAGATTTGTCGGTATCAGACGGAAAAAAACGGCCGGTCTGATAAATCATATGAAAGTGTACACCTAGTATGATGTTTCAGACGAATTCTTATAACTTGTCTGAACGATCAGACGAATATATTTGGCTCGTCAAAAGATCAGATGAAACATAAAAACCCGGTCTGATTTTCAGACCATCAGACCGATTTGGTCTGATAACGGGAGCCCTGTATGTGAAGTACATGTTGTAATTCTGGTTTCGTAATAGGACAATGTCATTCCATAGCCCCCGGGCGTTGTACAAATAGTGCCACTAATTACACCCCCACTAAATTTTGCATCAAAATTTGTTGCCACCCATGGGTGTTTTATCCGGGGGAATACGGTAGAAGCCATGGAAATTGTGTAAGGGTTGGCTAGGAGAAAATGTCGAGAGAGAGAGAAGAGAGCTTGGACTAGAAGAGAGAGGGATACAAGAAGGGGGTTGTACCCTCTACAGTAGGATCCAGTAACACCTACCAAGCCTATAAATATATATATATAATATATCATTTAACAGAAACGTGTGGCTTGTAAATTGGCACCAAGTGCCGAAATCTAGGCATGAAATGAAACTGCATGCATGCGGCTCGTCAGGAGACCACACTTGGTGCTGCGATCTGAATTTCTTGGCAAACTGCGTGGCAACCCCGTTATAGCAGTGTACGCCTTACAGACTAAAACTGGGATAAGGAATTACCATTTCCTTATCATTACCAATTCCCAACCAGAGATTATCATAACACCTTTGAATACAGGCCAGCAGCTCTTTGTTTGGTCGTAGTGGTTTGGTTTCCAAACCCAGACCAGCAACGCGGAACCACCAAACCTTGCTCGACAAACCACGGGCGAGCCAAAAGGCTCAGGGCGTGGAACATGGGTTGCGCAACCCATGGAAGTTGCACAACCTGTCCGGGTTACACAGCTCGTCAAAAATCGCATGGATTTTCGCGAGGACGGTGAGTGGGTTGCGCAACCCACAATGTTTTGTGCATACGCACAAAAGCGCAACCCGAGTTGCGCAACCCATGTGGCTGCTATGCTGCCCGGTCCAAAATTTTGGCTGCATGAAACCAACTGGGGATGCACCACAAAGAACCATGCCACAGACTTCGCCGAACCCCGGTGGTGGGTTCCGTTGCGAGAAAGGTGTTGTATTGGCGAAATGGTTATAGGGTGTTGGTGTATCGCGGGATGCTTGTGCAAAATTTCTGATTTGGAAGCGCAACCCGATGTACCATCCTGGTTGTGGAACCCTCGGTGGTTGCGCAACCCGATGTTCCAGCAATTGCGTGACTTTCGCGAGAAGCGCAATCCCGGTTGTGCTCCTGTGGGTTGCGCAACCCATGTTCCACGCCCTCAATCTTCGCAAAGCACGAACCCCTCGAGCCTCGGGCCGAGCTTGTGGAGCCTTGGGACCTCATTTGGCCCTGGGAACCGATTGACCCTCAGGAGCTCATCGAACCTCGGTTCGGGTGCTGCTCATCGAGCCTGGCGCGCTGCTCATCAACGTGGCGCGAAAGGCAGCAATATGGGCGACTGCTTGCTCCCCGAGGCGTCGCGGCAGGGATCAGCGGATGGGGACAGAGAGGTAGGGGAGAGAGTACTGGTCGGTAGTCCTCTGCTTGTTGCCTTCGTGCCGTGTTATGGTGGGTTTGAGCTTCAAGGCAAGAACCCGCTAGTAGACTACAGCAGAGGCTGAACACGGAGCTCCGCAACCTAGAAAACCCTCCTAGCAACTCACAATCCTCTTTATCAGCTAGCGATACATAATGCGAGAGAGTTATGTCAAGGTAGTAACTTGTTATTTGTAGTTGCAAACTCCTTCAAGCTCGTGCCAGTGGCGCGCCGACCGCACGTCTCAGAAAATGTCCGCACGGCCGCCATGGCGCGACGCACCGCGTGGAGAAGCCGCCGACGCAGCACTGCAGTCTCTCCCCTCCGCGGCGGCGTTCGGCTCCTCTTATGCTCCCTCGTCCTCGCCACTCTCCTCCTCTGCCCGCCCTTGCCCCGCGGCGTGTTCGCCTGTGACGCGATCCAAGCTGAGCCCACTTCCCCGCTCGCCGCTCACATCCCTGCCCCGCCGTCGACCAGCAGCCACCGCACGGGTACCTGGGACGATTGGCACGGAGAGAGCGAGGGGCCCGCTGCACGACACGGCGCGTCGCTGCTGCTGCTGCTGCTGCCGGGGCAGGAAGGGTTGGGGCAGGAAGAAACGAGCGACGGCGGCAAGACAGACGACACGCAGAAAAGGACAGCAGAGGCAGCGGCAGCGCCGACAGAGGGGTCAAGCGCAGCGGCAGCGGCGGCAGTGTCCGTTCCAGCGGAGCCGTCAACGGCGCACTGCTTCTGCCCCAGCGACGACTGGGACGACGACTTGCAGCCGCGCACCGACGCATGGGCCGCGGAGGACGAGCGTGGGGAGGGGTTATCTGGGGTCGGTGAGACGGGCCACAGCAGCGATACCAGCGTTGTAACGCATGGAGCGGGTGACCATTCAGGGCTGGCGGCATCGGTGCTGCGACTGCCTAGTGAGAGCGGGGCGCGCGACGTGCGGACGGCGGTCAAGGCGGACAGCAGTCGTGGCATCGACAGCACGCTGGGTCTCCGCTGGGGTCGAAGTGACGAACGCCGTAGCGACGGGCTGAACGCGGGGGGCGTGAGGGAAGGAGCGGATGAGGTGGCGGCGACGGCTGTGTGTGACGGGATGCACGCGTGCAAGGGCGGATCGGAGGGAGCAGCGGGTTTGGTGTTGCCTAGCTCGCAACTTGCGCGCCGGCCGTCAGTAGAACCGAGCAGCGAGAGTGAGGAAGGGAGAGACGATGGCAGTAGCGAGCTAGGGCCTGGACGTGCAAACGATTTCGGAGTTTCTGAGGATCACATATCTGCCACGCGTCAGCAACAGGGAGAAGAGCCGCGGTGGCAACAGACAGCGAAGAGCAGGCAGCAGCAGCAGCACGATGGCTCTTTCTTGCAGGAGTCAGCGCAACTGCTTTTGCTTCCTCATGCGAGCAGCCAACGAGACCCAACTTACGACCCTGGCCTAAGCGACGGCAGCACGCATGAGTCGAAAGCGCGTTTTGCGCTCATCGACGGCGTCACCTCAGCAAGTCGCCCCACGTACAGCATTCTAACCACGGCGCTGTCGTCTGACCCGCACTTGAACGGCAACGGCATCAGGAAGCGAGTGAGGCACGAGCAGCGTCGCCTGCTCGCGCTCTACGCCCGCCGCATGTCCGGGCCTGGCCGCTGGGTGGGGCCCATTCCCGACGTCCCCAACGGCGGCTCCTGGGTCTTTGCGCCGCTGCGCTCCCCCCTGCACGTGCGCTCCTTGGCGCAGATCCCACACAGCTTCCCCCTGTTCGACGCGGCCGCCGCGTGCCATCTGTCTCTGGTGGTCACTGACGCCGACTCCTTCCGCCGCTGGCTGCCCGACTCGTCCGGGGGGGGGGCGCCGCCTACTAGCGTGGATCAATCGGGGTTTGGTGGGGGCGGGGGGGGACTGGTGGGTAACACAGTGGCAGCGAACGCAACTAGCGCGGCCACGCTGGCGGAGAACGAGCGGCCGCGGACTTCAGTGCCGCCTGGCCTTCCCGCTCCCCTCGCACCTCCTGCGCCTCCTGCGCTTCCCCCAACCCCACAACCGCCACCGGCACAGGCGGTGGCGAGAAGGCGGAGCGACGATGCGCCGCTGGTGGTGCTGAGCATGAGCAGCTTCTCCACTGGCGCGGGCGCGGGGCCGATGGCTGGGAAGCAGGGCACTGTGGTGCAGCTGTGGGCGGAGAGAGACGACGGCGAGGGGGGGGAACAGGCGGACCTGGGGCTCGATATGGGGTTCGGGTTGGGGCTGGGGTTGGGGGGAATAAAGCAGCGCGCGGCGGAAGGGGCGCGGGAAGATGTTGGGGGAGAGGGGAGTGGGGAGAGGAGGAGAGTGCTGGTCGACCACGTATGCGGCGGCCTGGGCGGGTGGCGGCAGCAGGGGGGTGAGGGAGCGAGCGAGAGGCTATTAGGGGCTGGGGAAGGGGAAAGCGGGGAGAGGGAGAGTGGGGGGGAGCGGGCGAGCAAGGACGAGCGCGAGTGGGCATTGCGGTGGACGATGTGGAACGTCCACGGCGCGGACGGCGCTGAGCACGGCGGGCAAGGGGACGGACTGCCTGGGGACTGGCCGGCACTGGCGGAAGGCGAGGCAGCGAGGCTGGATGCGCTGATCATGGAGCAGCTGAGGGGAGAAGGAGAAGGAGGGGGGACTGACATGGAGAGGGGTGGGCGACTGATGACGGAAGAGGCAGGGGCATTCTTACATGTCCAGGCGCAAGCAGATGGGCGACAAGGCAGGAACGCTGTAGAGGACGGCGGTGCCGTGGAGACCACTCGTCGCTCAGCACCGCCCCATACCGCTCTGGAAACCTCACTGCCGTGGAGCGGTCGGCAGTCGCTGGATGTGGAGGTGGCCAAGGAGGAGATCGAGGCGGCCATCGCCGCGGCGCTGGACGCGGCGCACCACCAGCGCGTGCTGGAGGCGCTCAACATCTTCGCACCCGTGGTGCGCGTCGTCGCGCCGCACATGCCGCCCATCACGCTCGCGGAGCGCCTGGCGAAGGCGCGCTCGCTGCACCCGCTGCTGGCGCACCTGCTGCGCCTGGAGGTGCGCATCCACGAGGTGCAGCTCGTCGTGCGCGCAGGCGCCAAGCCCCCCCCGCCGCCCGCCAGCGGGGTGCGCGGAAGCAACCTGTCGGCGCTGACGCGAGGGCACTTTGATGTGTGGAGCGCGGGGAGTGGCAAGCAGCTGGCGGCGGGGAAGGTGCTGCAGCAGTGGGATGCGTACGACGTGCTCAACGTGCAGTCGGGCGACGTGGAGCGCGGCTGGCGCTTCTCCTCCCTCGCTTATAACTTCGAACCCGTCAAACCACCACACCCCCCGCCCCCGCCCTCCCCGCCGCAACCCCCTAAGCCACCGTCCCCTCCGCCGTTTCCTCCGCCTTCGCCCTCGCCCCCACCCCCGTCCCCTCCGCCTCCTGCCCCTCCGCCACCCCCGTCACCTCCGCCACACCCTCCTCCGCCCAGCCCGCCTCCCCAGCCGCCGCCCCCTCACCCTCCGCCCTCTCCTCCTCCTCCCCCCCTGCCCCCACCGTCACCCCCACCGTCTCCGCCACCCTCGCCTCCTCCAAGCCCTCCGCCACCACTACCGCCGCCCTCTCCCCCGCCTCCTTCCCCTCCTCCTTCGCCCTCTCCCCCATTCCCACCTCCTCCTTTCCCTCCACCCAGCCCCCCTCCCTCCCCGCCCCCACCTTCGCCCCCTCCTCCGCCATCTCCACCGCCCCCTTCCCCTCCTCCGTCGCCTCCCCCACCCTCTCCTCCTCCACCTAGCCCCCCTCGCCCCCCTCCTTCCCCTCCCCCATCTCCCCCTTCTCCCCCGCCGTTTCCCCCCCCATCTCCCCCTCCCTCTCCCCCTCCTAACCCGCCCCCATCACCTCCCCCGTCTCCGCCACCGTTCCCTCCCCCATCCCCCCCTCACCCGTCTCCTCCCCCACCTCGCCCTCCGTTCCCCCCTCCTCGACCACCACCCCCAAACCCTCCCCCCTCGCCACCCCCGCCTTCGCCACCTCCACCGTCCCCGCCGCCCCCTCCGTCGCCCCCTCCCCCGCTGCCCCCCCTCTCCCCCGCAGATGCGCGGCTGGGCATCATACAATCCCTGGGCGAGTGGCAGAGGGCAGTGGCAGCGCAGCAGCTCACTGCCGCAGCGGACATCTTCGCCCCCACGTGCCTCGTGCTCTCGCCGACCCGCCCGCTGCTCGCCCTCTCCTCCCTGGCAGACCGTGTGGCGGCGCTGCAATTGCTGCCACCGGGGTGCGGCACGGAGCAGCTGTTCGCAGCAGTGCTGGCGGTGGGGGTGTTCAACGAGGTGGGCGACGACGGGGACCTGGGCGGGCCGTACCTGGTGCTCAGCACGGGCGTGCTCAGCTTCTCCGCGCCTGATGGCGCTCTGCTGGACTCAGCTAATGCCGTGGCGCTGTGGGAAGCCAGGACGCGGGAGGGGCAGGGTTGGGGTAGGGGTGGGGGTGGAGTGGGGGGGTTGGCAGGAGGGGAGGTGATGGGAGCGGGTGTGTACAGAGAGGGGAGTGGTGCGAGAGTAGGGGTGTCAGATGGGGTATCGGATTGGGGCGTCAGACACGAGGCAGCTCACATAAGACAGCCATTCCAGCAAGAGCAGAATCTTAGGCGACAGCAAGGGCGTTTGAAGCTGCAGAAACAAGAGCAGCAGCAGCAGCAGGAGCAGTGGTGGCGGTCTCATGGTGGCAGGCAGAACGGCCAGCTGTGGTCTGCGCGAGTGGTGATATGGAGTTCCCGGCTGTCAGCCTTTCCCCCAGGTCGAGGCCAAGGCACTGACATCGAAGCCGCACTCAACCTGCTTTGGCTCATGCCTCCACCCCCACCTTCCCCTCCCTCCTCTGCCTCCGCTCCACCTCGCCTCTCCCACTCACCTCTGCCTGGGGAGCCTCCCCTCTTGGCCACACTGCGGCACTCTTTCGTTCCACCTCCCCCAGTTGCAGCCTCCCTTGACTCACCCCTGCCAGCACCACCTTCATTCGCACAGGTGGTTCCGCAGGTGCTGCACGTGGTAAATACCCGGTTGTCTGGTAGATCAGTAGGAACGGGCGTGGTGCCAGAAGCACCGGGAGAGAGATACGCACAGGCACATGCACATGGGCAGGGACAGGGACAGGGGCAGGAAGGGGCAGAGGGTGTGGCACAAGGGGTGGTGGAAGGGGAGGGGTCGGGTTTGCTGCTGCAGGTGGTGCAGGAGGGCAGGCAGCACGCCGAGGGGGCTGCGAGGAGGCGAGCGCTGCTGGAGACAGGCGTGGAGGGGCACGAAGGGGTGGGGGGAGGGGTGGATGGATGGTTGCAAGGAAGAGATTTGGAGGGAAAGGTTGGTAAGCAATCAGGGGAAGAGATGAGGCGGGGGAGCGGACGGTGTGACGAGAGCGCGCAGGGCAGGGGCGGAGGCAGGGAGCAGGGAGAGTTGCTGATACGGCAGGTGGACGGCGTGTGCTGGGTGCAGGCACAGCAGCGGGCTGCGCAGGCAGAGGTAGAGCATCAGGGAAGAGGTGCGCAGGGGCCAGGGTGGTGGGCGGGGGAAGCAGCAGGGAGGGCAGGGTTGGAGAGATGGGTGAGGAAGGTGATGCGGGCAGTGGCAAGAGTGGCGGTGGGGGGGGTGGTGTGGTGGCAGCAGGTGCAGGAGATGATGCTGTTGCTCGGCTCCATGCAGTGTGCGACTCAGCTGCAGAGACAAGGTTGGGAAGTGGGGGGGTGTGAAAGAGGGGAGGGCGGAAGCACTGACGGCAACAGTGGGGGTGGTGAGAAGGTGCGGAGTGGTGGCATGCAGCAGCACAGGCATGGGTTGAAGGCACCGCTGCTCATCGTTCCGTTCACTGGCGAAGGAACGAGCAGCCCTGCAGGAGCTGCTGGTGCCACGGCGACGGCTGAGGGGACAGCGAATGTGCATGCCAGCCGCCTCACTGGGGCTGCACTTGAAGCTGAAGCTACAGCGCATGGCATGGAAGCCCCATGGCCGCCCGTGCGTTCCTCCACGAGCACCACCACCTCTCTCACTGCACCTCACCCCCTCACCCTCCCCTCACCATCGTCCCCGCCCCCACCCACTCTCCGCCCTTCCCCCCTGCAAGCCAACGCCTCGGCCATTGTGGGCGAGATCGCCCTCTCCCTGCGCTGCTGGTGGCGCCACGTGCAGGCGCACCATGAGCAGCGCGCTGCTGCCATCTTCGCGCCCCTCGCGTCGCTCACTGCCCCCGGCCACGACCCCCTGCTGCTGCCCGACCTGCCTGCCAAGCTCGCTGCTCTCAAGCCCTTCCTGGACGGCCGTGCCGTGCTGAGGGTGCATCTGGGGGAGGCGCAGCTGGTGAAGCGCGGTGTGCAGGAGGGGCTGGCAGTGGCCGTGGTGGCGCAGGGTGGGTTTGAGCTGAGCTGGCGGGGCGTGCAGCGGGAGTTCACACTGCCTGGGAAGGGAGTCATGGTGTGGGAGCCCAGAGAGGCACCTGTGGGGGGGGCACAGACGGACGGAGAAGCAGAGTTGCACGGGGAGAGGGTTGGTGGAGGTGGCAGGGGAGTTGACGGGGTTGGAAGAGAAGGGAGTGAGGGTGAGTGTGGAGGAGATGCCAGTCAGTGGATGCTGCGAATGGCCGTATGGAATTACGACTATGAGCTCGCTCCTTCTCCCCCTTCTCCACCGCCCCCTGCTCCCCTAACCCCACCAACCAGCCCCTCGCCTCCCTTGCCACCCTCTCCGCCTCCCCCAACATCACCACCTCCCCCACCGCCCCAATTGCCTCCTCCAAACCCCCCGCCACCCTCCCCTTCTCCCCCTCCCCCTTCCCCCCCTCCTTCTCCGCCTTCCCCTTCTCCGTCTCCTCCTCCTCCTCCTCCCCCTTCTCCGCCTCCCCTTCTCCCCCTCCCCCTTTCCCCCCTCCCCCTTCTCCCCTCTCCCTTCTCCCCCTCCCCCTTCTGCTCCGCCTCCCTCTCCTCTGCACCCATTTCCTCCCCCACCTTCTCCTCCCCTTCCTCCGAAATCCCCCCCCCGCCATCCCCTCAGCCGCAGTCTCCCCCTCCGCCGTCTCCAAACCCACCCTACCCCCCTTCCCCACCCACTCCTCCATCTCCTCCCCCACCCTTTCCACCTCCCCTCTTTCCCCCTTCATCCCCACCCCCACCTTTCCCCCCTCCACCGCTTCCCCCTCCCCCATCTCCCCCCCCTCCATCCCACCCTCCTCCATCTCCCCCACCGTCTCCCGCTCCCCCCTCTCCGCCCCCTCCACCTTCTCCCCCATCCCCTCCTCCCCCTCCTCCCCCACCGTCTCCCCCCACCCATCTCCTCCCCCGCCCTCTCCCCCTCCTCCCTTTCCCCTCCTCCTTCTCCTCCACCACCCTCTCCTCCTCCACCCTCTCCTCCTCCACCCTCTCCTCCACCCCCTCTCCCCCTCCTCCCTCTCCGCCTAATCCACCTCTTCCCCCGCCCTCTCCCCCTCCCCTCTTTCCCCCTCCTCCTTCTCTCCCTCCACCCTCTCCTCCACCCCCCTCTCCCCTCCTCCCTCTCCGCCTAATCCACCTCTTCCCCCGCCCTCTCCCCCTCCCCTCTTTCCCCCTCCTCCTTCTCTCCCTCCACCCTCTCCTCCACCACCCTCTCCCCCTCCGCCTTCTCCCCCCCATCCACCTTTTCCCCCACCCCCTCCCCCCTCTCCTCCACCGCCCTCTCCCCCTCCCCCTCTCCCTCTCTCCCCTCCCCTCCTCCTCCATCTCTTCCCCCATCCACACCCCCTCCCCCTTCTCCTCTCCCACCATCTTCCCCTCCACCCTCCCTCTTCCCTCTCCTCCTCCTCCTCCCTCTCCTCCTCCTCCATCTCCTCCTCCCCCCTTTCCTCCCCTCCTCCCTCTCCTCCTCCTCCTCTTTCCCCTCCTCCTCCCTCTTCTCCTCCCTCTCCTCCTCCCTCTCCCCCTCCTCCCTCCCCCCTCCTCCCTCCCCACCTCCTCCCTCTCCTCCTCCTCCCTCTCCTCCTCCACCTCCTCCCTCTCCTCCTCCTCCCTCTCCTTCTCCTCCTCCTCCCTCTCCTCCTCCCTCTCCCCCTCCTCCCTCTCCTCCTCCCTTCCCTCCCCCATCTCCCCCTCCTTCCCCCCCCCCTTCTCCTCCCTCACCCCCCCCTCCCTGCCCCCCTGCCCTCCCCCTAGGCGCAGGCCTCCGCCTCCTCGTCCCCCGTTTCCTCCTCCCTTTCCTCCTCATCCCCCCCTCCACCTCCGCACTCACCTCCCCCATCCCCTCCACTTCCCCCTCCGCCCCCTTCCCCCTTACTCCCAAGTCCTCCACCACCCTCACCTCCTCACTCTTTGCCACCTCCTCCGGCGTTCCCCCCTCCATATCCTCCTCCCTCTCCCCCGCCCTCTCCTCCTCCGTTTCCCCATCCTCCTCCTCCTCCTCCTCCCTCTCCTCCTCCTCCTCCTCCCTCCCCCCCTCCCTTTCCTCCTCCTAGTCCTCCTCCCTCTCCCCCTCCTCCTCCGCGTCCCCCTCCCTCCCCTCCTCCTTCTCCTCCCTCTCCCCCTCCGTCTCCTCCCTCCCCTCCTCCCTCTCCTCCTCCCTCTCCTCCTTTGCCTCCTCCCTCTCCCCCTCCAAATCCTCCTCCCTCTCCCCCTCCGTCCCCTCCTCCATCCCCTCCTCCCTCTCCTCCTCCAAATCCTCCTCCCTCCCCTCCTCCCTCTCCCCCTTCCTCCCCTCCTCCCTCTCCCCCTCCTAACCCTCCTCCCTTTCCCCCTCCCTCTCCTCCTCCCTCTCCTCCTCCCTCTCCTCCTCCCTCTCCTCCTCCCTCTCCTCCTCCCTCTCCTCCTCCCTCTCCCCCTCCCTCTCCTCCTCCCTCTCCTCCTCCCTCTCCTCCTCCCTCTCCTCCTCCCTCTCCTCCTCCCTCTCCTCCTCCCTCTCCTCCTCCCTCTCCTCCTCCCTCTCCTCCTCCCTCTCCTCCTCCCTCTCCTCCTCCCTCTCCTCCTCCCTCTCCTCCTCCCTCTCCTCCTCCCTCTCCTCCCTCCTCCTCCCTCTCCTCCTCCCTCTCCTCCTCCCTCTCCTCCTCCCTCTCCTCTCCTCCTCCCTCTCCTCCTCCCTCTCCTCCTCCCTCCCCTCCTCCTTTTCCCCCTCCCTCTCCCCCACCTCCTTCCCCACCTCCTCCCTCTCCTCCCCCACCGTCCCCACCACCTCCTCCTTCCCCCCCTCCGCCTTCCCCTCCTCCCCATCCTCCCCCATTCCCCCTCCTCCCAACCCGCCGCCTTCTCCTCCCCCACCTCTCCCGCCTCCTTCCCCTCCTCCACCTTTCCCACCTCCCCCCTCTCCGCCTCCGCCATCTCCCCCTCCCCCCCCTCCAAGTCCCCCTTATGGCTGGTGGTGCGCCCTTTGGCCCTGGACCTGCCTTGCGCCCCCCCTGCCTCCCTATTCTGCCCCCATGCCCCCTCCCCCGCCTCTCACCCCCTTGCCCAGCCCTCCTTTCCCCCCACCCCGCCCCTCTGGCCCCCCTCCCCCACCGGACCCCTGTTTCCCCCCACCCCCTCCCCCTCCTGGTGGGGACGAGCCTGCTGCGTGGTGGTGTGCCCTCTGGCCCTGGCGCTGCATGCCCCCCCCACCCTCCCCTGCCTTACCGGCTCCTCCTCTCCCTCCATCTCCCCGGTTCCCTTGCTCCCCACCCCCTCACTTCCCCTCTCCGCCTCACCCCTCTCCATCCCCACTTCCCCCTCCCCCTCGCCCACACCCACCCCCTGCCCCTCTTCCACCTGCCCCTCCCCCCAGTCCCTTGCCTCCTAAGGTCCCACCTCCCCCACCTCCTTCACCCCCTCCCCCACTGCCCCCCTGGCAATGCGCGCTGTACCCCTGGCTGCCTGAGTGCCAGCAAGCGAGAAGGCGCAGTGCAGATGCGAAGGCGCACCATCTGGCAGGCGGAGCAGGGGGAGGAGCAAGGGGCAGAACGCAAGGCATGACGGCAGCACATGGGGCAGGGGGACAGGCAGTGCTGGAAGCTGCTGGCCCTCCTGGTGGCGTGAGTGGTCCAGGTAGGACCAGCAGTCGCACCAGAAGGACTGATGCACCAAACCTGCTGCTGCAGGCGGCAGCACCCGTTGACTTAGTACAGCTCACAGACGGAGCGAGGACACGGAGGGGGGAGGAAAACGGGAGGAGCAGGGGAGAGCAGGTGGAGTGGGTGCAGCATGGGGGTGTGACGATGCAGGGAACAAGGCATTCAGGCCATGGCTTGAAGGCTGAGGCAATTGAGATGGGGGTGAGTGGTAGAGGCACTGGCGCTGATTCAGGGCTGGCCCACAGTAGGGGTGAGCAGATGGAAGCATGGAGAACTGCTGATGAAGAGGGCATTGGCAAGCAGGCGCTGCTGCCTCTGGGCGTGAGAAACGAGGTGCAGGAAGTGAGTCAGTCAGCAGGCGGAGGGGTTGTGGGAGGGTTAGATGTGCTGAAGAATGGGGACCACCACAAGCACATGGTGCATGCAGCACACTCAGAGCAGCAGCACGTGCTGGTGCAGCAGGGGCGGATGATGAGGCCACAGCAGGTGCACTATGAGGAAGAAGGGAACTCTTCGATCTGGCAGCTGCTCTTATCCTGGTGGGCTGAAGAGATTCGCTCAGTGTGGAAGGAACAAGTGAGCACGGAGTCATGCTCCGGCAATCACAAGGGCAAGCATGAGGGGCAGAAGCTTTTAGCATCGTCCTGAGTGAGCATGCTGGACAGAGTGGGATTCATTTTTAATGAATCATGCTCCTGCAGACGTGTACAGTTGTGTGTTAGGGCATGCGATGCTCTTTACTGGGTTTCCCACAATAGAGCAACAACTAGGTAGTAGTAGGTGTCAACTTATACATACCGGTATGTATTGAGAAAGCTTGCTTTCTTGTCCTTCGCAATAGGCATCGTTCTCATTTCAAGTGGCTAGGTACAAGGCTCTTAGCTTACAAGAATCGAAACATGTACGCATACATGCATCATGAATCATGATCCTAGTTGTGCGCTCCCGTTCAAGTGACCGGCTGGCAATTGATGATGCACGGTTGTCGAGGGGGGGTGGGTGGGAAAGTTGACTGAGCGGTTTTAAAAATGAGCACCCTCCTGGCCCCTACGCGCCCGCCTGGCCCCTATGCGCCCGCCTGGCCCCTTAGCGCCCGCCTGGTGCATCGCGCCCACCTGGCCCCTCCGTGCCACCCTGGCCCCTAGCGCCCGCCTGGCCCCTCCGCGCCCGCCCGGCCCGTTGCGCCCGCCCGTCCCACGCCGCCCGCCCGGTCCCTCCTGGCGCCCGCCCGGCCCGTTGTGCCCGCCCGTCCCACAGCGCCCGCCCAGCCCCTCCTAGCGCCCGCCCGGCCCCTCCTAGCGCCCGCCCGGCCTCTCCTAGCGCCCACCCGGCCCCTCCTAGCGCCTACCCGGCCCCTCCTAGCGCCCGCCCAGCTCCTCCTCGCGCCCGCTCGGCCCCTCCTAGCGCTGGACCGGCCCCGATACGCCCGCCCGTCTCCTGCGGCCCGCAGCTCCCAGTGCCCGCCCGGCTCCTGTGGCCCCGTGTCTTCTGCTCGGCACGGTTCCTCGAGTCTCCGGCCCCGTGTCTTCTGCTTGCCCGCGCTGGAGCGTCTTGCAGCCGTCCTCCTGGAGTTGTGCTGCTATGTCCTGCGGAGCTATGCCGCTGAGTCCCTGTGTCGCTGACCCTGCACGATGGCTGACTTCCTACTCCGCCTGGACGCGGAGGGCCACGCGGTTGACTTCGCCGCCTGGCTGTCCGATCTCCGCCGCCAACTCACAGGTCAGCGCCAGGATGGGCACTCCTTGGTTGTCCATGTTGATGGCTTGCTCCCCCGCCCCCCTGCGCCTGCTCCCCTCCCTGTTGACCCCACCTCTGCTGAGCGTGAGGCGTTCTCTGCTGCTGCACTTGCCTGTGCCATCTGGGACTCTCGCGATGCAGTTGCTCAGGTCGCTATCAGTCACGCCCTCCCTGTGTCTGAGCGTTCGCGCTTCTCTACAATTGATACAGCTAGGGCTTACTTAGATGCTGTTGTTGCTCGCTTTTCCACGCCTCCCTCCGCTACTGTAGGCCGCCTGCTCTTCCCTATGCTTTTCCCAGACCTTGCTTCCTTCCCTACAGTTCCTGACCTTGCCACTCACCTGCGAGCCCTACCGCTACTGCACCGCTAGCACTGCTGCCCAGCTCACTGCGCTCCCTCCCCCCTTCTGCATGATCCTCTACTTTATCGCTAAGCGCCTACCTGACCGCCTTGCTAGTGCACGCGACCACATTCTTAGCCAGCACCCGGGTGATCTCACCCTGACAGCCTTTGTCACTGCCCTGACAGAGATCGAGACTCGCTTGCGCACTATCGCTCAGTCGAGCAGTGCGCCGGCAGTCTCTATCTTTCACGTCTGTGCCCCCTCCCAGTGCACGTTTACTGACGTTTCGGTTGTGGTCGCCACTACAACCCCTCTGACCAAGACTGCAGCTGCGGCACACCCGCAGCAGCTCCCGCGCCGCGCCGGTCGTGGCCGCCAGGGAGGGCGTGGTGGTGGAGTTGGTGGTAGTGGTGGTGGTGCCGGGGACAGTGGTTCTAGTGAGGGGACTGCCACAGCTAGTCAGGAGCAGCCGCCGTCGCCGCAGCAGCAGGAGCAGCCGCAGCAGCCGTCGCAGCAGTCGCAGTCGTCGCAGCAACTGTCCCAGCCCCCACCGTGGGCTCGTCTCCCGCCGGGTTGGCCCGGCACCTCCGTAGGTGGTGGCCGTGGTGGCGGCCTGCGCAGCTTGGCGTCTACCGGCAGCTCCGTTGGTGTGACCTGCCAGTACAAGCTTCAGACCGGGCCTCTCCGCGGCACTCTGTGCCGCCGCCCGCACCCGACCGCCTGCTGTTTCCGCCGCCTCGCCGATCTCTTTCGTCGTCGCTTTGGCCCGGCCTCGGACCTCCCCGACTGGCACAGCCTGCTTTGCTAAGGCGTGCCGATCTTTGAGTTAGATATGGATCAGATAGGTGCTGCTTTGCATGCCTTGTGTGCTGACGCTTCTAGTGTTGCTGAATCTTATTACCCTGTGTACTCTAGTTTAGGCGTAGCACCCTTGTGTAGCTGAGCCTCCCCTGCTGTGTCAGGCGTAGGACTGCCTAGTTTGCCTAGCCTAGTTTCTGCACCGGCTCCGTTCCCGGCCGCCGCTGCCGCTCTTGGCCTCTGAGGGTGCTAGCGTTGAGGAGGGTGTTCGTCCTGCGGCTTCTGGCGTGGTCTGTCCCGGCGGGACTGGGGGTGCCGCTGGTGCTGGAGCGGGTTCTCTCTCTGAGGGTGTTAGTTCTGGGGGTGCTGCTGTTGAGTGTTCTCCCGGCGGTCGCCGTGCCCCTGCCGGTCTGCGGGTCAAGCACCAGTCGCCGCAGCAGCCGCCGCAGCCGTCGCCGCCGGTCTCCGCTCTTCGCCTGCTCGGCCTTCCCTCCCCTGACCGCTCGCCGGTCTCTCCCCCACCACCTTCTCACCTTTCTGTCTACGGCCCTGTGTTCCCGCCGCCGGACTCGTCTCCAGCCCGTCTTCCTCCTCGTTCCCCTTTTGTGTCCCCTCCGCTGTCTCCTGACCCTACACCTCCGTCCTACGTCTGGTCTCGCCGTCCCTCACATGCTCGTCCCGTCTCTCCTGTCTTGCGCTCCCACCCTATGTTGCTCCGTTCCCAGTCGTCTCGTCCTCCCCTCCTCCCGTCGCCTCCTGCCTCGTCGCTTGTTGTCACACCTCCCCCGCTGTCTGACTACCTTCGTGCCACTCGTCCCCTTGTCCCTGGGGCTCTTGCCTCTCTTGTTACAGACCCGTCTGTTCCTGTCTCGCGTTTTGATGCGCTTGTCGCTGGTGTCGCTGACTTCGCCTCTACCTGCCGCCTTGACTACGCTACCGCTCTGGTCTCTGACCCTGCCCGTCCTGCGCCCATCGCGGGTGCATCTGCCCTTGGCAGTGACGTACTAGAGGACAGGCAGTACGAGCTTGCTTTCCTTTCCGAGGCCGCTCCCCATCTCTGCTCCATGCTCCTAGTCCCAGAGGGTGACCAAGATGCCTTCGACATCCCGACCCCTCGCACCTATGCTGAGGCCACCTTGGGACCCTGGGCCTCTCAGTGGACAGCTGCCATGGAGCAGGAGATGGCATCTTGGAGGTCCACCGGCACTTACGTCGACGCAGTTCCCCCGCCTGGGGTGAACGTAGTCGATGGTCGGTGGCTCTTCAAGGTGAAGCGCCCACCTGGAGAGCCGCCTGTCTTCAAGGCGCGCTACGTGGCTAGAGGCTTCAGCCAGCGCGAGGGGGTTGACTTCTTCCAGACCTTCGCCCCGACCCCAAAGATGACGACTCTTCGGGCGCTGCTACACATAGCAGCACAGTGCGACTACGAGCTTCACTCCCTCGACTTCTCTACTGCCTTTCTTCAGGGCAGCTTAAACGAGCAGGTCTACCTGCACCGACCACAGGGCTTCACTGGCACCTTCCCCCCTGGGACCCAGTGGCTTCTCAGGCGCCCGGTCTACGGCCTGCGCCAGGCTCCTCGCGAGTGGCACGACACGCTGCGTGCCACGCTAGCAGACCTGCAGTTCTTTCCGTCCTGTGCTGACCCCTCGCTTTTTGTGCGTTCCGGCCAGACTCCGTTCTACATCCTTGTCTATGTAGATGACCTGGTCTTTGCTACTGCTGATAGGGACGCACTGGCCTCTGTGAAGGCCGAGCTGCTGAAGGGACACACCTGCACTGACCTTGGAGAGCTGCGTCGCTATCTTGGCCTGCAGACTGTCAGACTGGCCTTGTGGCCTTACCTCCAGTGGCTGGACTAGTAGTGCCGCCCTGGCTTGCTTTAGTCTTTTTTGTACCCTTGCTGATTGGTCTTAGGACCCCTGCCTTAGTGGTTGGACTAGTAGTGCCACCCTGAGATGTGTGCTTCTTGCTTAGCACCACCCCTTCTCTAGCCTAGGGGGTGTGTCAACTTATACATATGCTGTATGTAGAAGTTATAGGGTAGCCTAGGTGTGTGCTTCTAGTGAGTACAACCCCAACAGGTATATGTTCTAGGTTTCTCAAACTAGTCAACCATTCTCGCATTTTAACACCGTAATCCCCCGCATATATCACCCACCGGTAGCAGTCCATGGGTCCTTTGGACGGACAACGGGACGCTTATTTTGGGAGAATCGGTGAGGACCAGGGCAGGGCTCTCTCCAGGGCCCATGTTAGTAGGGTGATTTACCATGTTTACTCTGAATTACAGGATGGTTGAAACACTTGGGTCGGATTTTTCAGAGTCTTATTTTTTAACCCTTACGTTCTCAGAGTACACTTACGGATCACCCTTGAAATTCTAGAGTGCCTTTGATCCCCGCCCTGTATGGAAAGGGTGACCCTAAAATTTCCCTGGACTAGCGACAATTGTATTACAACCCCCTTGGACAACCCCCTCCGACGGCACCCGATAATTTTCATGTGGCATCGACTGCCGCAATGATGACTTCCACATGCCCTTCTGCCCACGCGCGTACAACCTGGATTCCTTGCTGCAGCAATGCTGGCATCACTGCGCATCATGGAAGCCTAACATTGGTCACAGTTAGAACCAATGCTGCCAGCCTGCCAATCGACAAGGGTACGGGTAAGCAAGCACCGCCAGGCCAGCCATGCAACCAAACGACCACCAGCAGCCCTGCTCTTCCCCCATTTGTGTTGTTATGTCTTGTACATCCCTCTCTTCCAAGATTTATTTGCTGTCATTTTCTTGTTCCCTCCCACGGTAGTTTGCCTGCGACTTCAAACCTCCTCTGTGGCTATGTCTGCTGCGCCTGGAAACGCGGCAGACGGCGAGCCGACCGCCGATGAACTGCCCGATCAGTCGACTCCGCCGCGTAGCGGGCTGGATTTCTTACGAGCTGATGTAGCCCGTAGGCAGCCTAGCGGCACCGTTGCGGTGCCACCG